ACACACACACACACAAACAGTTTTCAGGATGTTCATCGGTTTGACTGTGAGCTTGATATTAATGAAAGGAGGTGATGGTGGCAAAACATTCATCTAATGTTGGTGACAGGCTCACCTGGATGAATTTCTGCATTTTGTGCATATACAGTAGGTGTTTGGGGCATCATCTCTCCCTCCCTGACTCACACTCTCCAAATTAGATATGTAAATACACCTGGACTGCAGTAACAGCTGTAACCCATGCCTCCTCCACCTCCGTTGCACCCAGCGAGTAACTTCACAGCACAATAACTTTGTCTTACTGACAACTCTCAGCCCTGATTAAGTCAGCTGCCCCAGCAAATGCTACTTTGTTCTCTCCCTGCATACAGTACTACAGTACAAAGGGAGGATTAGTCTTTGATAGTTTTGCTGATAGGGCATTGCAGAGGGATTTAATAAGCCAATTAATTGCCATGTTGGCTTGCCAAAGGTGGAGCTTGAGATGCAGAAAGGCTGCTGATTAAATTACAAAAGGGAAGTGCAAAACAGCAGAAACAAAACTGGCACTGTGACTGAAAGATACAGTAACACCACCTACACAAACAAACACACACAGGGGTTCCCTAACGTTTTCAGTAAGGGGTTCCCAGATAGCTATCAGGCCATGAACCACTACTTAGTAAGATTTTGTCCAAGGAACTCTGGGATTAGACAGCAGTTTGTAGCAAAATGTTGCTCATCTCTGTTGCCTGAGGCGACAGCGTGGCTTTGTGGTTACTACCGTGTCGGCAAGCATCTGCTCGTATTTGTGTTTTATTACCTCGAACCTTGAGTCTCCTGTGATTCTACAAGGAGCCTGTCAGGCCATAACCATTTAATTGTCAATTGTTAAGCTTATTCTCACGTCTCTTTTTTGTGTGTGCAACTACTTTATTAAACCAAATCCAAGCATCCGAATTGTTGGAGGGTTTAATACCAATGGTTACTGCTTTAGTAGCATTTTCTTGTCAAGACTTCTTCACTGTGTTAAAGTCTTTTAGGAAAACAGGTAAAGCATGCCCTCTGGTGCAAACACAGTCCAGGACAGACAGTACCTTGTAGTTTCTCATGGTCTGAGTTTGGAGAACATGGAAGTTTTCAACAGCAAGATCTCTGACCATTATTGTAATTGCTTTGATTTGTTATTTCCTCTTTTTGATGTGTTCTCTTCCACATATCTGTTCATAGTTTGCTGTATGGTTAAGTTTGCTTATCAGACTCCAGAAAAGGCTCTGATGCCAGCAGACAGACAAAGCTATAGCAGCTGGTGAACAAAGTCAAAAAACTAGCAAGCAAAGTCGCCAGATATTTGTTCTCAGGAGATGGCGGAGACCAGGATAGAGCTAAATGGAGATAACATCGGTGGCCAAAAACACACAATTAATGCCAATGTTCCATGATTGCTGGGTGTGAAAGTAAGCTATTGTGTTCTAGCACATCAGTGGCCGTGTATCTGTCAGCTTGTTTTGATATTTTCCTGCCTCCTAGTGGCCAAAAGGGGAGAAATTAGTTCCTAGTCAATAAACTGTGTAATTGGCTGATTACTCTCCCGTTAACACCTCACATCTTGGGAGCAGAAGCTGATGTGTATTGTCCCAAAGTGGCTCAGGGATTGTGACAAGAAAGGAGTTCAACCAAGGGAAGTACTTAAGATAAGATAAGATAATTTATTAAAACTAAAGTTAACAGATAATAGGATCATGGATCATTGAAATGCATTGATGTGTAAGGTTTGTAATGTTGAGGTGCTGAAGGTGCAAAAGAAGATGATGCAGGGTGCAGTGAAAGCAACAATGCAGTAATGAGCTACAGAGAAATATCATGAGTTACTATAAGAAAATGTTTAAATATTTTAATAAGATAGATTTGGAAATTAGCCTGAACTACCTTTTCCTCGACACTTTTCTCCACTTATTCTATGCGAGGACTCTTTACTGCCAGGCACGCTGGAAGATTTGTTCTCAGTGGGTCTGCCCGGGGGTCTCCTTCCAGTCAGTTATGGTTGGAATACCTCCAATGGGAGGCAACCAAAAAGTGTCTTTACTATTGTAGGTGCTTAATGTGTCTCAACAGTCTCAATACCATGATGAGCTTCTCATTGTCCCCAACTTCTCATCATGTCCCAAACACTGCACCCGTTATCCTGTGGGGAAATCTCAACTTTGCCACTTAATTATATATGAAATAGCATTTGGTCACTACTCAAGGCCATGAATATGTGTAAAAGTTAATCCAAGAGCTGTCTTTAAATTGAGAACTTCACTACTATGCATTTCTTACGCATATCTCCCTGTCTCTCCCTCTTTCTCTGTGTCAGTAAGTGAGCACACTTTAACCTGTCCCTGGCTAGAAAGCGTGGCTTGAAACAGATGCACAGGTGTTGCCACTTGGCTCAAAGCTGGCAACAAGAAGGGAGAGGCCACACACAGGCTTCTAACGCCAAAAGTAATTTATTGAATCAATTAGTTAATAATAATGAGTTGTGTAGGTAGGGGTGGATGGATGAAAGTGTGGTGTAGTGAGAGTTGTATGATGCAGCAAAAAGACGCAGGCAAAGAATATATATGGTCAGCAAAGCATGAAATCCCCTCTCTTTTACAGGCCTTCAAAATATGTCTAGCATGTTGTACTTTTTTTAGATTTCTTTGAAA